TGTTCAAAAATCAGCTTCGTTCGATATATTGGACTTAGGCCTCTGGCGCCACCTCTAAATCTTAACGAAAAACGCTCATTTTTGGATATGTTGTTCATTTGGCCCTAGTAATCATTTTCCACATGAGAAAACGTGTCCCCAAAAGATTTTGAAAAATAAGCCCCACCCTAGTGAATCCTACTCCGTTATTGCAAGATCAACTGTAATTACACAGAGAACCAACAGATGATGCTTGGGACCAGCGATCATCCTGAATGTGTAAAAACTGGTGATCTAAAATTAGGCAATACCAGCGCCGTCCGTGTCCGAATGCAGGTCAAGAAAGGATTGGGTAGGAATGTGTTGACGTGATACTCGCTTTGTTGGAAGCCGAGCAATCCTCTGCACTTCCACGAACAATCACTGGGATGTTGGATAAACGGGTTGGGTATGCAGCAAGGCTTGGCAAAGAAAAAAAAAAGACGACTCACGGGCATGATGTTCTGCTCAGTAAGCAAAAACGATCGCTCTAAGGGCACCGAGCCCCTCATATCACATCATACCACTTATGATCGAGTTGTTGTAGCCATTCAATGTTCATTAAGCAAAAACGGCTGTCTGAGGCAGCCGAGCCCTTCATATCAGAACACACCACTTATGATAGAGTTAATGCTATAGGGTGTCCCAGAATGTCTAAGCACGATTCAAAAAATGACAACGTAACTCTGTTTATAGCTAATTCTAGTTTTATTTCGTATTAATGTTCTCTATAGCATTCTTTTACAGTTTAACGTAGAAAATCCGAGATCCGATCAATCGTAAGCCAAGGAGCGGATTTGTGATCTCACGCTATTCATTAGCTTCACCACAGATGGCTTTCCAGTAATTTTGGATACTTTTTCTCAGTCTTTCGCAAACTTTGTAGCGGAATCTGCTGCCTTTACATGTTTCCGCAAATATGCTTTGGTCAGGGCCCAAAAAATTTCAATCTGCCTGGCCAAATTTGCTTAAGTTTATCGGATTATTCTGAAGCTATCTGATCGTCATCGAAGTACTCGGAACTTCGCTGAATATCATCAAACTATCGAAAATATATAAATTTATTAGAAGTTCTATGGTATTCCTTGAACATATCGCTGCTTGCTAAAAGTTCTCACATTTTTTTTATTAATGGAACTTCGTTTATGTTCTCTAATCAACTTAGCTAAATTTTCGTATTTTTTTTAAAGTTCTTCAAATCTCTATGATATAACACCCTTAAAATACTCTCACGTTTTCCGGATGTTCATATAATGTTTATCACGTTTTCAGAAGTTTCCGGAAATTCTCTTTGATTCTAAGATCTGTCGATGTTCTCGATGCTTCCCTAAAGCTCTCAATTCTATTGAAGATCTCGGTTCTGCTCGTAAATAGATGGAATTCCCGGAAGCAACTTTAAATTTCCCTGAAATTCTCTGGACTTCTGTGAAGTTCCTGAAATATTTTTAAAGTTTCCATAAATCCTCTGAAGGTCTCTGTATTTCCCTTAAATTATCGGAAAATCTTAAGGGTTCTCGATTTGTGCTCCAAAAGTTTGGACAACTTTTTAAAAATTTGGACTATACCCCTCAAGTTTTCTATATTTGTCAAGTTCGCTTGACACCTGTGAAGTTCTCTGAAATTCTAGGAACTTTATAAAAGTTCCTGAACATTTTCGGATGTTAAAATAACCGATTTGAGGATCTTAAAGCTTCCAGTAAGTTCCCCATATTTTCAGCGAGTTAACTTCCCTTATGTTGCCACAGTTTTTTTATGGAGCTTCAGCGAAATTCTCAGCATTTCCTTTAATTCCTCAGAACTTCTACAAAGTTCCAACAATTGTTGTGAAGTTACTGGGACTGCAATGAAGAGCTCTAATGTTTCATAAAGTTAATTGCGAACTTGAAATAAATCATTTTTTTCCCTTAATTCTGGCACTTGATCTTCCAAAACAGCATATTCTGAACGCATTTCAAAAATGGTTTCTTAAAGGGTGATACGGTCAAAATTTGGTAAAGGGAAAACGCGTGTAAATCGGTGAAATCGTTTATTTAAAAAATCAAATTAAATTTCTTTTTCAAGTTCAATTAGTATAAAATTCAGGAAAAATATTCAGTTAGGCTTCCGCTTTTCCAAATCCGAATTGCCGGGCCTTACGCTTGACCCCTGCCATCAGATTTTGTACAGCCACCTTGTCCACCTTCTTCGCCGCAGAAAGCCAGTTTGCCTTGAACTGCTGCTCGCCCTTAGCAGTTTTTTTGGTCTTCTTTAGGTTCCGCTTGACAATAGCCCAGTATTTCTCAATTGGGCGGAGCTCTGGCGTGTTGGGAGGGTTCTTGTCCTTGGGAACCACCTGCACGTTGTTGGCGGCGTACCACTCCATGGCCTTTTTACCGTAATGGCAAGATGCCAAATCCGGCCAAAACAGTACGGAACAACCGTGTTTCTTCAGGAAAGGCAGCAGACGTTTATTCAAACACTCTTTCACGTAAATTTCTTGGTTGACAGTCCCGGAAGCTATGAAAATGCTGCTTTTCAAGCCACAGGTACAGATGGCTTGCCAAACCAGATATTTCTTTGCGAACTTTGACAGTTTCATGTGCTTGAAAACATCTGCTACCTTTCCCCTTCCTTTTGCCGTATAAAACTCCTGTCCCGGAAGCTGCTTGTAGTCGGCTTTGACGTAGGTTTCGTCGTCCATTACCACGCAGTCAAACTTCGTCAGCATCGTCGTGTACAGCCTCCGGGATCGCGCTTTGGCCGTCGTATTTTGTTTATCATCGCGATTTGGAGTCACTACCTTCTTGTAAGTCGATAGTCCGGCTCGTTTTTTGGCTCGATGCACGGTTGTAGACGATACACCCAGCTTATTTGCGGCATCTCGGAGAGAGAGGTTAGGGTTTCGCTTGAAACTACCGACAACTCTCTTTGTCGTCTCAGCGGCTTCCGGTTTTCGATTTCCCCCCGATCCAGACTTCCTGGCTGTCGACAAACGTTCCCCAAACACTTTAATTACATTTGTAACGGTTGATTTGGCAACTTTTAGCGATTTTGCCAACTTTGCGTGCGAGTAGCTCGGATTTTCGCGATGCGCGAGCAAAATTTTGATACGCTGCTCTTCTTGCTTGGACGGCATTTTGACAACTGAAGAGTGAATTCCAAAATCAAAATAGGAGCAACATTCTACACACACACACCTTCAAAATGAGGGGTGTTCAGGTGTTTTAAATGCAAAATTGAAAGAAATACGTCAAGTTGATATTGACCAAATTTTGACCGTATCACCCTTTATATAATCCTTATAAATTGTTTAGGATTCATTTAGGAAAATTATCACGATCTTGGACTTGACAAATGTTTGATACTATGGAAAATTGGTAATTTTTTGAATTTTGTTAAGATAACAATTCCGAGCTTGAAGAAATATTCAAGATTTTAAGATAAATACTGTGCTTTCCCGGTTTTGTATACCTCCGATTATGCTTTTCCGATTTAAGGCATGAATTCTCAAGCATTTCGTTCAAAACAGTAATGGAGATAACATACTTAGAAAAAGTACTGTAAATTTAGGTGCTCTGAGACTGACATATACGAGCGTCAATTTTGACATAAAATTAAGTCAAAATAGACGCAAAATTCAGCTCAATCACACGTAGTTTTTGTCGAGTACCGAACTTTTCAATCTCGGAGCACTTAATTTTACATGAAATGTATGTTTACGTCGCATCCTTTATGTCAAAGATGGATTCCGTCACGTGTAAAATTAGGTATTTCTAAGTGTGCAAATAAAACTCAATAATTGTGACACTGCACAGCTGACAACGGAAAAAAAGGTGCGACGTTGCAATCATTGCGGAACCGTATCGAGTTCCTCCCGATAACGATAACTAGGCGGCGAATAGAGCTTGGATGGCTGCAATATAAGTTATGGGTAGATACCCCATTCAAGAAGAAGGTTTCGTGATCGACAAATTTAACGGAATCTTCATATGCAGTTGCTACGCACCCTCTAGATGGATGATGGAACAGTTCCACGAGATGCTGGATGGACTTACCAAAGAGCTGATCGGACGAAGACCGGTAGTCATCTTAGGAGACTTCAATGATTGGGCAATGGAGAGGGGAAGCAGATGTTCCAATGGAAATTAGGCTGTCCAATGAAAGCGCCACTTTTCGCAGAGATGGCCGAGAAGCTATTATCGACGACACTTTTTGCAGTCCGCCGTTGGTGGCAAACAAGAATTGGAGAGTGTGCGAAGGATATACCCATTACGACCATTAGGCGATCCGATATGGCATCGGCCAACGGAATCCTGTGGCAGTACGGAGGACGAGAACTTGCGACCGGAAGTAAGAGAAGGGGGAGGGGGTCCGAGAATATGTGGAATAGCTATAGGAAAAAGCGTGACACATGGGGAGGGGAGAGGGGTAAAAAATACGAAAAATTCGTCATATTTGATACGCCTCTAAGCCCGGAGCAACTTCGAGCGAGTGCAAGTTGCGTCATTAAACACAGCTATTTACTAGTTGACGCGTGCCACTAATCGACGACGGACGTTCTGGATAACTACTACCGGAAAAGACACATTGCTCCGCTAGTTTATCCAATTGACGGATCTGTGCAAGGTAGCTCTTTCGAACAGTCGATTGATTACTCCAGTCCAGACAAAACAACAGTAATTTAAATCACTCTATCATTCTAATTCCTAGACAAAAAAAAAGATTGTTCTTCTCGAGGCGAGAACTGCTGCAGCGCAACCCGCTCTTTTTACCAGCAGTGATAGCGCAGAGAAAGTGCACACGGGCGCTAAAAATAGACTCAAGGAACTCTGCTAGTCAGTGTCGGTGCATTGACACATATCAAAAGGCCATTTAAAAGCGAGATATCAGTGCAGGGTAAGCAATGAAGGTTACTGTTCTCGATTGCAGTACTAGACTATGATTAATTATTATGAAACACACACACATACAAACAATGCTGGTAGTACCAGAACAAAACTTACGTTTTCGGCCGGTGAACAGAACCGGCACGCCAAGCCTGGCATCGGTTTGGAATCCGGCAGTATGTGCGGCGTGGCCGAGTTCTTCATCTGGTACAAACTTTCCTCGCGTGTCTGTGATCGGTGGTTTAGAGATGATGGGAAGCGTGCGTGCGGGTAGTAATAGATTCAATTCCGGGTAGAAAGACAACCAATATCATGGAAAAGAAGCATGTGGAAAAGTGTATATAAACGGGGTTTGAGGTTAGTAAATGTCGATTTAATTAGGAGGTTGAGAAGCGTGAGAATGAAATGAAATATGTAACGTGTGCGAAATCGGTGCGCCATTAATTGACCCCACCAATTGACCGCGTTTGAGAACGTTTGTCTGCTGGTCAATTTCCTACTGGTGCAGTACTAGATGCAACGCAAACAATGCTCACCTTCCGATCATTCTCCTTGTCTATCTGTCGTTTGCGCTTCTTCTGCTCTCCGAAGCGTTTCAGCATGGCGTAGGTGGAGTAGAGACCGCCCTCCATGGTTTGGGTGGTGGCAGAGCCGAACATCCCTGGCAATCGGAATGATCCGTATGCCTCCTGCACACGGTTCGATATTATGTCCACCATGTCTGTGCCTCTGTAATGGAGAATGAAGATGGAGAAAACGTTTGATTAGCACTAATTGATTCTCGCGGGAGAGGCAGCGGCGATCAACAACGAATTTAAGTGGGCCGGGTAGTAATCAGTCGTAGTAACAGCTGTTTCTACGGGTGATGCAATACATTATTGGTGCCTATCAAATTTTGTTTTGGTTTTTGTGGCCTTCTGTCAAATTAGAATGATAAGAAAGAGGAATGTACTGGATTTGGAATGGATCAAACAATGTGAAAACAACGCTTAATCTACCATTTTTGCGACTTAAATGATTGATAGGCTGATGAAAATGTGGTGGGAAAGGCACCCATTTTCAGATGTTGTTTACTAATCTTATCAGCCTTGTTCTGGGATGTTTTTATGCGGTAATGAACTTTAGCACTTTTCTGTTGATATATAGGTATAGACATAAACGAATGTTTCCTGCGGCTTTATTTTGCACAGGCATCACAACAATAATGAATAACGACAGGAAGGGTTAATTATTCAAGGCAATAAGGACGTCAGATGAAGCAATCTGCAATCATAGTTCAGTTGAACTTGAATGGGAGTAAACATGGGCGATGCACAATGGATTGCTTCAAAACAAAACTGAACCCATTTTCCATTCCTACAACGGATGCAGACCATTATCTTTCACCGTTGACCTTGACCTCCTGTAAAGGATATCGATCGATAACCGGTTCACCTGAAAACCCTTTTACGCACTCAGCAATCATCGAAGCCGGTTTTACGCTGACATCGCTTGCATATGGATAATTTTACAATCAGGGGTATTTGGGGTAAGTCGGACAGTGCACCGTGGGAGATTTCCATACAAGCAGGCGGGAAAAAATATTTCCATGAATTTTTGGCAATACGTTGTTAATAAATATTGTTCAACCGAGTTCAACTTTTCACGTCCAACTTTTAAAAAGGGCTTAACTTTTTGTAGTTTTAAATTTAATGATAATATTTTGAAAGATATTACAACTTCAAGCTTGATTTCAAAGAATAAAATCTTGATGATGATTCGAACTTTAAAGCAAAGATACAGTACTTTCCCGATTCGGTCAGCCCCTTCTCAAAACCGGAAAACTGACAAAAACGGGATATTTTCTCCCATTATTTTGTCGATCAAAATTTTTTCACAGAATAATGAAATTTTTATAGAGTAAGCGTTCCAAACGAATTGCTAGAATAATTCCATGAAGCTGGGTTTAGACTAGGCAAGTCAAATGATCAACTCAGTTGAATTCAATTGGCTTGAAAAGTAGAGCCTGGTACAACTTTTTTCAATTCAAGTGAGTTGATCAAGTCAGTTGAATGGCATGGTTTACACGTTCAATTCGCGTTCAAGTCAGTTGAATTAAACTGACTTGATCAATTGACTTGCCCTGTCTAAACCCAGCTTGAGAGTTTCGGGAGAATACAGTTCGCGTTTGACTTTCAACGTTAGCAGTTCAGCTCTTGCCGTGCTCTGTGCGTGCATTTTCTTCTTCTTCTTCTTCTTCTCTTTGCTTCCTGCATACTGGCTTTCCGCCTTCCGGACGAAAGGCGCTGATCGAATCTTTTCATCGTCGTGTTTGTGCGTTGAGGTTGTGTTTCAGAAATGCAATCGAAGTGTGCTAGAGTGGCAGCAATTAGACCCGTCTGTTTTCGGTCGCTGGAATTATCGTTTCTAATTTCGGCGTTGGTCGCGAGCTGACTCAGCCGGTGAGGATCTGGCGATGCACGTTCCAGTAATCGCAGTCCTTTTTGTTCTCTGCTGAGATTCCTCTTAGGCAGAACAGCCAGAATGTGTTTCGTGGTTGTTGAAAATTTCCGCTGCTGTGTGACCGGTTGAGGTAGTAGCGACAGTATATCCATGGGAGTTCTTAGAAATCATCGTTATGTCGGGTGAGATCTTTCTTACATTTTTCTCTTAACTTAACTTCATCCCATTATTATATGAACCTGCTGCTAAATGCTGGGTACAGGATGGTCCACCAGGACACTAAAATGAAGCGAAATGGATGGGGAGAGTGGAAATGTCAACTTCTTATCTTTAACATTTCGTGAATAGAGAGTGAGCTCTTCTCCCCACTTATTGGGGAATCCTCTTGTTGGATGGTTTGTTGGAAGGCGATTCTCAACCGTCCCGTGGATGGGCGATGTTGCCCACGGATCTACCCAACCCGTGGCACATTGAGAACAACTAGAGCATGAGCATGCGACCGTGCACGTCGTAGTTGCTACTCGGTTACTGATCAGAACCAGTGAAATTTTACAGAGAACCACATAGATGGAGTTTTTTTTTTTGGATTAGATTTCCATCGTCAATGTACAAGTGCTGTTTTTTTTATTTAAAATCTGGTGGGAATATAATAAGAATTGAACTCCCCACCTTCTGCATAAGCAGAAACGGTACCCTAATAAAAATAACCATAAAAGAGAGTTTAACGACGTGTTCGGGGTATCATCCAAACCATTTGTGAGATAATTTACCCATACGGGATACAGTTCGTTTATGGTATTTGTTTATTAGTGTAACCATTAAGCTACTGAGCCTCGGAATGGTAGGTTGAGTACAATTAGAGGTTATTAAACTTGATCAAGTTGAAAAGTGAGGACAGTCCACGGTTGTCTTACTACAGTGAGTGGTAGTTCCATATCATCACTATCATCATATCAATTTAAAGCTAATGCTGAGGAGAACTCCAAGTGAATTTTAATGAGACATTTCAGTTGACTGCACTGAGGTCTTAAGAACTACTATAAAATTCCCAAAATGTTCCTGAAGTTAATGAAACTACCTTGAAGTTCATATGTAGTTTGAGAAACCAGCCTGATGCTCACAGTACTTCTCATCAAATTTTTAAACTTTCTGGAACTTTTTCGGACTTCCTAAAGATCATGGATCTTTTCTAAAGTTTTAACAATTCGCTGAAGTTCTCCAAACTTCTTTAAAACTTATGTAATTTCTCTTATCTTCGTGTTCTCGGATCTTCCCTGAAGCTCTCAGTTATATGGAAGATCTTGGTTCATCTCTGAAATAAATTAGATTTTTGGAAACATCTTTAAACTTCCTGAAATTCTCTGGATTTCTGTGAAGTAGGGTTAACTACCCCATTTCCGGCCTATTAAGCACAACCCGCACTTAGTCTTTCTTAATCTAGCGCAGTTTAGCACCAAACAAAATGTTATTATTACTAATGGCTTCCAAATTTATTTACCTTTCCGTATGTACCATAAGATTGGATAAAGAGAAACCAATAGTTGAGATATTGCCAAAAGTCTAACACTGCTGCTTGACGCCAAACTCGGTCTACGGATTCTAAACTCGGCCTAACGCATTGAAACGCCAATGAATTCACTTCGGCCTATCGGATGATGATAAAACATGATTCGATCGGAGCGCTTCTTTTGTTTTTGGGAATAATGGGTGCAAACCTTCATTCACGCGTTCTCATTGAGTTCGTTCCGTAGCTTATTAACTAAAGTATGGTACCAAACGGATAATTGACTTGTTAACTCTAAAATCATGGATTTATTTGAAGTTTTCTGCTCGATAGGCCCAAAATGGGCGATTAGGCCGAAGTAGTGCTCTACCCTACCTGAAATATTTCTGAGTTTCACTGAAATATTTCTGTAATTTCCTGAAAGTCTCGGAACATCTTAAGGGTTCTTAATTTTTTGGGCATATCATGGAACTATCCTGAATTTTTCTAAACTCACGCTTATAGATCTTTAAACTGCTCCAAAAGTCTGGACGAAAGTTACGGGAACTGCCTCTAAGATTTCAGAAATTTCCCAAATATCTTTAGTTCTAGCTTTTCCGAGGTACTTAGAACTTCATAAAAGATTTCATAATTTTCAAGTTCCCTTGCCATCGGTGAAATTCTTAAAGTCCATTCAAAACCGGAGAAAATGAGCCTTTAATGGATGAAATCGGTTGGAAATTGTCGAAGTTATGAGCATTTTTGTAAAACACTTAAAAATGTTGCTGAAATACAACAGTTTTAGAGTTCCTTTTCTAGGTGTCGTTGTAAGCATCCAAATCGCATGTAAAGTTTTCATGGGAGATTCTTTTCTCTACATATCAATTTGATTAAGGCATATCAGGATTTAAACCGAGTTGATACAAAAGAAATTTATTTAGGTTTTATTAAAAATGTTTGAGAATCGAATGACTTTGTCTTCGATGTTTTGAACTTGTTTCTCGAATCAGAAACCAACAATAGTCACCCATCATTGCTTCATCCCAAAACCCTTGGTAACGACGTTCCATCATCTTCATTTGTTGGTGAAAACGTTCGCCGTGCTCATCACTCTCGTCACCAAGATTTTCCGGGAAAAAATCCATGTGAGAATGTAGGAAATGTATCTTCAAAGACATATTCACACCTGTGTTCAGTGAAATAAAAGGATTTGAAATTAATTATATGTAACAAACACAATATTTTTGATTTATACCTATTTTCTCATAATTATTGAGCAATTCATCGACGGCTTCCTCATAATCTGGGCTTCTGAAATTTCCTAAAAAGGTTGTGACAACACGCTGGAACGATTTCCACGCTTCTTCCTCATCTGGTGTCAAAACTGTATTGAATGCGGAATCATTGAGCAGTTTTTTGATCTGTGGGCCAACAAATACACCTTCCTTTATCTTTGCGTTAGATAAATTTGGAAATACTGATTTCAAGTACTGCAATGCCGGCCCTTCTTTTTGCAACGCTTTGACGAAATTTTTGAATAGCCCAAGTTTTATATGTAGTGGTGGAAGTATTATGCGTTCTTTTACCACAAGAGGATCATTTTTAACGTTGTCTTTACCAATTGTGAAATTATCCCGTTTTGGCCAATCTTTTCGGACGTAGTGTTCCTTACGAGCTCGACTGTCCCATTTACACAAAAAAACACATATATTTTTTGTATCCCTGTTGCAATCCAGTCAACATGGCAACCACTTTAAGATCGGAACAAATTTTCCAATTGTGTTGATTGTAATTTATCAAATTG